AGAAGGTGCAGGTATTTCTTATTAAATATCTTGAATAGACATATAAGTTGGATGAAGGTCTTCTCTGGAGTTGCTAACCACTTAGGGGTGCCCCCTGCTGACTTTCATCTGCATCAACAGCCTGAGTTTTGCCACTGATTCCTTTCTAAAATAAATGCAGCAAATAAATTTTACTTATTTACTTGTGTGCTTAATATCTAATTAAGACACAGATCACAAATAAAATAATTTATATACTCCTGACAGAGCAACACACAGTAAGAAGGGGGTTCCTGCTTTCAGTATCATCTTGAGCTTCTAACCTTCTCTTCGGAAATGGTGTGTCCATCATTTCAGGGACCTCAGGTTCAAACTGCTTTTTCCATTGGACTTTTTTCCAAAACTATCAAAATTTTAATAATTTAAATAAGTAATTCTTAGCACCACACTCCCATATGAAGTTCACCATAGACTCTATAATAGCAAAACACGTGACTGTTAAGTAATTTAAATACTTTTATAGGTAAAATCATAGTGTCTCATTCATGAGAGTAAAATATGGTTCATTCATCTAGGCAAGTTTTTAATGTACAGGAAATGTCTTAATCACAAAAGTGTTAAATATTTTCTGCTACTTAGTGTGATTTATGGAAGAAAGGTTTGAAAATTACATATACAGTCATGTGTCATTATAAATACAAATTGCATATAATTTTTTGTAATATATATTTCTACATTCTAATTATCTATGCCCTATTTTTAAGTTTTTATTTTATGATAGTCATAGAGTCACATGCACTTGTAAGAAATAAAACAGGGACAAGGCATATTTTCTACAGTTTTCCCCAATGGTTAGCATCTTGGGAAACTGTACTACAATGTCAACACCAGTGTACTGACAATGACACAATGTCAATGTGTCATACAGACATGACACAATTGCTGCCTCCACCGTCCAATCTCTCACAGCACAGCACACTCACTCTCCACTCACTTCCACCTCCTTCTTAACACTTAGAAATCACAAGTCTGTTCTCCAGTTCTAAAGTTTTGTCGCCTTGAGAATGTTACATAAATGACATGTACATTATTTAAGCTTTGTGGACTGACATAGCACCATTCTCTGAAAATCCATGTAGGTTGTGTGTAGCCCAGGATGCATGAATTTCTGTCCTACAGAATGTGACAGAAAGGATCCTCCAGTCACTGCTTCCTCGGAATCTGAAGAACATCTAGAACAGAGCTGGGTCAATGAAGACCAGAGTCTCAGCAAGGAGGGTAGTCAAAGCAAACAAACAGAAACTACTGGAAAGGGAAAGAAAGATTGAGAAGCAGGAAGTCGGGAATGGTGCCAGTTCACTGACAGGGCATTAAGCCTTTCTCCCAATGGCCCCCAGGTACTGGCTAGGGATTGGGAGAGCATAATACACTGGGGAGCCCAGTCCAGTGAGCCACACCTTCATTCCGGGCATGGTTTCTGGACTCTCAGGTGCCTACAGGTGCCCAAGAACTTGAACAGATGTCATCTCTATTTATTCCAGTACAATTACTGGCTCATATGGTCTTTGCATGTTTAGTTTAAAAAAAAAAAATTACTGTCAAACTTTGTTTCCAGAGTAGTTGTGCCATTTTACATGCCTATCAGAATGAATTCTTCACAGACTGATCTACTTGTTCTACATTGTCACTGGCATTTGGTGTTGTCACTTTCATATAAGTTGTATCATGAATATCTGCCATTTTAGCATCAGTTTCTGCCTGTGTTCTCCAAAAATAGTCTATACTAAGATATCTTCTTAACTCACTCTCACCCATACATCCTCAGGAAGTCTCCAGACCCTAAAGTTTGTCCTATTATCTATTACTCAGAGCTCAATAACATAAACCCACAGAAGTACCCACTTAGCATGTTGAGTGAAAACATACTGTGTCATCCTTCTCAAAGATGCAAAATACACTAAGCTAAGAGAGCAGTGAATGGCTTCATAAAGTAGATAGGTGAGAACAAAATGTCAACTCACCAAGATAATATTAACAGAAACAGAGCCATCCATTTAATACGTATGAACACTACACTGTCTTCAGGCTTTAGGCTCTTGTGCTAAGGATGAAGACCTGACTCAGTTTAGGTCCCCACCCACCTGACATCAGTCTAGACAGGAGACTGTAAAATAAACATGAAGGCCCTCCCTGGTGGCGCAGTGGGTTAAAGCACAGCACTGAGAAGCTAAAGCCACTTCCTCATGAGTTCGATCCCCGCCTGCCCCGGAGGTGACCACATGGCGTGGTAGACCTCTCCTGACCCGCCCGTTGCTCTCCTCAGCAGTGTACTTCGGTGATCTGCCTGTTCTGCTCCCCACTCTGTCTCTGGTGAATCCTATCACTCTCCACATCTTTGGCCTGTACTCCAGTTCTGTATGAATAAATAAATAAATCTTTAAAAATAAATAAATAAACATGAAAACAGGTATGTCTAAATCTATGTTTGTGAACATGTCTGTTTATTTAAAATCATGTCACTTTTTCAATCATCACTGAAAAACTACTGAAGAGTTTGAAGCTGACCAGTGATTCCTGTGTTTTAAGAAACACTCTCTGCTTCATGGCTGGTGGGTTGGAAGGGATGAGCTTTGGGCATACTAAGACCATTTTTGAGAGTAACACAGTAGGCTGGAAAAATGTTAAGGGTTTGAACAGAGCAGTAGCAGCAGCCATATTTAAAAATGTATAAAATGGATACAAAAATGTTTATAAAAAATAGCAAGGGCTTGTTTCCCTGAGGTTGAGAAGAGGGAGAACTTAGGATGATCTCAAGTTTCTGACCTAAGGAGCCAGGACAATATTTGTGCTGTATATACTGAGGTAGACATCTAGAACACAAGAACATATTCTGAAATAAAGATGATGATTCCAGGTAGAGGTCTAATGAGTTGAGCATTAAAAAATGGCATCTGCTGGAGGTGTCTTACAGGTAAGTAAATAGCTTGTACTCAACGAAAAGAAATAGACGACCCCTATAGATTTCAGAGCTCCTAACATGGGGGTTACACTGGCAAAAGTGGGAGTGCATAGGACCCCTCAAGGCAGGGTGTCTATAAAGAGAAAATTAATCCACTTCAGAATCTTGGCAGGCAACAAAATTCAGGAGAAGTCAGGATAATAAGCCAAGGTCTGGAAA